TATTGATTTGCTCGAGTTTGTTTAAAAAAATTTGGTTAATATATTCAAAATTAATTATTCTCATTAAGGGGCAAGCGGTAATTAACCACGCTGAAACTCAATGAGAGGCCTCCATTGCTTATTCTGAACCCGATTTTAATATATACTAGATTTTGCATCCGTGCTACGCGTGAGTATTTTGTTAATATAAATTATATGCAATCAATTATATTTATTAAGATATAAATTTTATATATTAGTGATTTAATAATATATTAAAAATATTATGATGTTAATATAATTACTTTTATGTAAATTTTGAGGTTTTAACGGTTTTGTTTTAAATTTATATATATTATGTTATATTTCAAAAACGTATTATTTGGTCAAACACTTATAAGTTAATATACCCAAATCAACTAAATTTTTTATAAATTAATTAAATAGTACTTATTAAACATAATATTGACATAATGATAAAATATTATACATTCACTTCTTTGAATCATGAAAATAATTTTTTTTCATCATTTTCACTTTTCTTCCAATTATATATGTATTTGTTTTAAAAAAATAATAAATTTTAAAATTTAATCTTTTTTCTTCTTTTGTTTAACCAATAAAAATTTTTCTTTTGTAATATAAATTTAAAAAACAAACTAATAAATAAAATATTTTCTTTGAGATTAATAACAGCTTTAAATTTGAAACCAAAATAATAGTTGAATATAAAATGAAGAAAATCACACAAAATTTGTGAATTAAATATTTTTTGGTCAATTGGTTGTATAAACGTTTAAAATAATTTTTCAATGATTATACGTCATCTATTCTAATAAGAATGAATTTATTTTCATCATGTTCATTTCTATTCTTGTTATATTTGTTTTTTCAACTAATAGATCATATTTATTTATTTTACTGATTTTTGTATGATTATATTCAGTTTCATCATATTCATTCTTACTTCATTTAATTATAATTAAGTATGCAATTGGTACAATTTAATACATATAAATTTAGAAAAATGAAATAACAAACTGAACAACTTAAAACTAAAAACTTTTACATTAATCTATTGCAATTCCAAGTCGAATATAGAAAATATAAATTTTTCAATTATTTTTACATAATATATTACATGAAATTATGTGGATATATGCTTTGCATATGTGGAAAAAAAAATTAATATAAATAATAATTATTAGTTATTTAAAATACTATATGAAAAAACTTAAAATTAAGTAACATAAACTTGTATAAGTAGCATATAGTTTTATAGATAATAAATTAAATTTATAATTTAAACAGTAATAATAAAGATTTTAATATCATTTTTTTTTTGTTATTAGAGATTTTTTATTCTTTAATTTATTTTCTTAATAGAATTAGGAAATGTTTTTAAATTTACAATTTTGATATATACGAAGAAAATTTAATTTTTAAATGCTGATGTGGATGCCTTGAAAATAATATAGCTTTAACTGTTATTCATAATAGAATAGTTTTAATTAACAATTTTTCTATATTATTTTGTATTAACAATGTAATTTTATAATTTAGAATTTTTTTTTTAGTTTTAGTTTTTGATGTACACTAATAAAATTGACCTTTTAAATCTTATGTGGATGTCTTTAGAGGCATATAACTTTAATTTTTATTTTTCTATATATATATATATATCTTTTTGTTAACCATATAATTTTAAATTTTGAAAATTTTCCTAATTTTAAATATTAATGTGGACCAATAAAATTGAACTTTTATATCATATGTGGACATTTTTAGAGGCATATAGCTTTTATTTTTTTTAATAATAGATTTTAAAATCAAAGCTGTAAGATCCCACACGAGGCAAGTGATTATGGTCTCTCCTTGTTTTGAGGTTTACCGAATGTATTTGCATGCTGCTTGGTCAGCTAATTGTTACCTTTTTGGTTAATGTTAGGTTGTTAAAACCCCATCAGATGCCATGTTATTTCAAAAATCTTTCTCGGATACCTCAATCTTCGGCTTAATGATAGAACTTCTTTCTCTATTTTCAGTGCTTCGTTTTTCAAAAGTGTCATGATTTTGGTCTCGCCTCCTTGTTTTGAGGCTTACCGAATGTATTTGGATGCTGCTTGTTCAGCTAATTTTTACCTTTGTGGTTAATGTTAGGTTGTTAAAACCGTATCAGATGCCATGTTATTTCAAAATTCTTCCTCAAATACCTCAATCTCTTTCCTCTTAAAGACGGAACATCTTTCTCTATTTTCAGTGTTGTTTTTTAAAAGTGTCGAGTATCAATTACTTGACATGTTTTTCGGATTGCTTGAAATTTATCATTCTTCTCAAATTCGGTGGCCAAGCTTTGGAGATTTTTTGGTTTCTTTTTCGATATTAAAGCGGCTTGTAATAGCTTTGTTTATATCTCGTTTCATTATATTCTTTGTAATTTAGCAAATAGTTAAACTTATATTTTTGCCAAGTTGGTTCTTTTACGTTGTAATGACTATTTTTGTGAAACCTAACTCTATTTTTTTTTTGAAATGGTTTCACACACAGAAAAGAAAAACTTAAAAATTATTATAGTTATGTGACAAAATTTTGGATACTAATGTAAGAGTCTCTAAATATGTGTGTGTACATCTAATTTAAATTTAAAATTTTCTATTTTAATATTATTTATTTTAGTTTTTATTATTAACAAAAAAATTTATATAATTTCTTTATCTTTAATAATTTTTTAAAATAATAATGGAATTTGAAAAAAAAATTTTAATTTTCAATGTTGAGGTGGACCAATACAAAATTTATATAGAATATTTTTATTCAGAAATAATTACAATTTGTAAATTTTCTTAATTTCCTTATTCAGCAATAATATTAGAATTTGTAAAGTTTTTTGATTTTGAATATTGATGTGGACCAATAAAATTACTTTTTAAAATCCTATGTGGACACCATCTAAAGAATCTCTTTCTCTATTTTGAGTGCTTTGTTTTTCAAAAGTATCATGATATTAGTCTCTCCTCCTTGTTTTGAGGTTTACCGAATGTATTCAGATGCTGTTTGGTCAGCTAATTGTTACCTTTGTGGTTAAAGTTATGTGGTTAAAACCCCATCAAATGTCATGTTATTTCAAAAATCTTTCTTGGATATCTGAGTCTCCTTCGTCTTAATGACATAACCTCTTTCTCTATTTTCAATGCTTCGTTTTTCAAAAGTGTCGAGTATCAATCACTTGACATGTTTCTCGGATTGTTTAAAATTTATCATTTTTCTTAAATTTGGTGGTCAAGCTTTGGAGATTTTATGGTCTCCTATTTTAATATTATTTATTTTAGATTTTTTATTATTAATAGAAATTTTATGTATAATTTCTTTATCTTTAATAATTTTTAAAAACAATAATAGAATTTGGAAACTTTTTAATTTTCAATGTCGAGGTGGACCAATAAAAAATTTATATAGAATTTCTTTATTCAGCAATAAAATTAGAATTTGTAAACTTTCTAAATTTTCTTTTTTCAGCAATAATATTAAAAATTTGTAATTTTTTCTTATTTTTAAATGTTGATGTGGACCAATTAAATTACTCTTTTAAATCCTATGTGAATGTCCTTAGAAGCATTTAGCTTCAACTTTTATTAGTACTAGGAAAGAACCCGCGCATATGCGCGGATCTTGTTTTAATTTTTATTTTAAATATTATATTTTTAAAATTTGTATTGAATTTTATGTTTAATATCAATATTTTTGCATTTAAAATAATTATATTTTATTCGATTTCTTTTTAATGATACATTATTTATAATCTCTTCTACATCAGTTGTGCCATTAGTCTAATTTTTCTCCATCAGTTCTTTATATTATTGGGAGAAAAATTAGACTAAAAATCCACTATTTTAATTTTTATATGAAAACGTAATAGTTCACTTGAAATATACGTTAAATATTAGAGAGGGATATATTTTTTTTAGATCTTTATATTATTTTTATTCTTGTAAATCTTACTAATATAATATTTGTTAACTTTCTCAATTTACTATTTTGAATTTTGTTGGTTATATATATATATATATATATATTGATTCCATTTTTTTTATTAAAAAAAACATGTATGACATTTTTATGTGGACATCATTCTTTTTACTATTATTTTTTTAATAATTTTTACCTCTTTAATGATTTATTAAATATTATTTGTGTTTTATAATTTTATTAGTTGGAGTTTTATATAAAATTATTTAAAACTTTTTACCGAATTCAATCTAATCTAACATAACTAAATATTAATATATACATATATTAGAATTGTGCATTTAAAAAGTTTTGTATTATATAATATTTATAAATTTTTATAGATTTAAATTTAATTTTAATTTCATTCTAATATATATATATATTATTTACTTATATTCTTTAATGTGTTCATTTACTTATAATCTTTAATGTATTTGCTTTAAATTTGATTAATTAATACTTTTATTAATATTTTTAATGGATATGTGTCATTCTTTCCATTGCTAATGTGTCAAAGATGATTGTGCAAATATAGAAAAAAGAAATAACTTTATACATGATGAAAAAATCTAATTTTCTAGAAAATTTATAATTATTGCTGGAATCTTTATATGTTTTTTTATGCATTTTTATTATAAAAATCGGTTAAAAAGACACGTGAATGTAAAGTTGTCTTTTAGATTCTAAATAAGAGACGTATTTTTAGATAAGTATCTCATCTGATTAATTTATGAATAAATAATCAGAAGAACTCAGCTAAGATACGGCATTAATCATAGTCTAATTAGTTTAGAAAGTGTATCCGTATCTCGGTCAATGTTTATTACCTCTTTATCAAAATTTAGTTTTTGACCAAACAATGGAAGTTACGTTCTTGCCCCTTAATATACTAAAATAGCTCCACGGTACTCTCTCATTCAATGGAGTTCCTAAAACCCTAGCCAAGCCAAGAAGTACCCTAAACACACACACCTGCAAAATTGATCTCTTTTTCTCCTTCTCCAGCCGAGAGAATGAGCGATGGTAACATGGACGTCGACGAATCACAGGTTTCTTGCAAAGCAAAGTCCCTAGAGTCATTAGCCGACGGTTCTTTCTCCAAGACTCTCTCGAAACTCTCATCGTCTTCTCGTGTGATTCCTACGAGTAAAGATTTTCACTTTTACTACAACTTCGAAGAATTCAAACGACCCATCGACGAGATAGCTAAAACCTCTAAGCCCATCCTCGACACGATCGGCGATTCAGAGCAGGTCTGGGGAAAACCGATGAGGTTTCCCGGCGATATCGAAGAAGACGAAGCCGATGATTGGCTTTGCAACGTGAACGATGAGTTTCTCGAGAGATTCGATGTTTCGGTTGATGAGTTTAAGAGGATTCGAAAGAAAGAGGAGGAAATCGGTCGGACATTGGCGTCTGATTGTGATGAGAATGGGTTTCAGATGGTTTATGGGAAGAAGAAGAAACCGGTGAGTAGTTTAGTTTCTGGCTCTGTTAGAAACGGTGGCTCCATGATTGATGTTAAGGTCGCTGAGAGGGATAATAAGAACTTATCTGGTAAGGCCAAAGTTCCTTTCCATATACCGACCATAAAGAAACCTCAAGAGGAGTTTAACATATTGGTGAACAACGCGAATCAGCCGTTTGAGCATGTTTGGTTAGAGAGGAGCGAGGACGGTCAGAGATTTATGCATCCACTGGTTAGTCTTTTTGCATTTCCGAATTGTGATTTGGTTATTAAGTTTTTAGAAAGATTTAGGCTTTATGTGATGGCAACACCGAAATAGTATAGTATTTTGAGTGTAGTCCTAAAAATCCTGACCTTTGCTGCCCAAAGTGTGGTATTTTGGTTAGCATTGTATGTGTTCTTAAGTGAAGACTATAGATTCTGTAAGCTTTACGGTATTTGTATTGATGAAATAATTGGCTTGTGAATAGATATGCTTTTGTATATTTTAGGGGGCTTCTTATGGCTGTCTGGATTTGGCATTTTTTTGTAATATATATGTTTATTATATACTATGCAGGAGAAACTTTCTGTGATTGACTTCATTGACGAAAACGATACTGAACCTGTTATACCCCTCCCATTGGAAGAGACTCCATTCAAGCTTGTTCAAGAAGTGAAAGATCTGAAAGACGTAGTCGCTAAATTGCGTACTGTTGAAGAGTTTGCGGTAAATTTATTTTCTGATTGTTTAGTAGTCCATTGTGCAGTGCATTCTTTGATCATAATGTCTTTTGGTAGAAGTAGTAAGAGCTTTGATAATTCTTTCATAATTACGTTAAGGCTTGTTATTTGGTCATTCAGTTTTACGGAGTCTCTTGTAAATAATATTGAACAATCAATGTGATAGCTTAAAGAATCTGAAGTTTCGTCATCTAAAATTCGCTCTTTTATTAGATAGGCCCAAAACAACTCAACTTATGAATTTCCAAGGCTGATGCCTCTACCTTTCTTCTAAAATTGTTGTGTTTTGCTCTGTTTAGGTTGATCTGGAGCATAATCAGTATCGATCTTTTCTAGGATTGACATGCTTAATGCAAATTTCCACCAGAACTGAGGATTATATCGTTGATACATTCAAGCTTCGTGTTCACATTGGTCCTTACTTAAGGGAGATTTTCAAAGACCCTAAAAAGCGAAAGGTTTTTCCTGGGATACATTAATTTCCTTTATAAAACGTCTCACTATTTGTTCTGCACTCTGAAATCTAATGAATATAATTAGGTAATGCATGGAGCAGATCGAGATATTGTTTGGCTTCAACGGGACTTCGGCATATATGTCTGCAATCTCTTTGACACAGGACAGGTTTGAGATTGGTTCACTAATGGCTTCTTACTTTTTCTGTGATATTTTTTTATCACACTAAAATGTTGGAGATCCAGTTTCCATAGTGTACACCTTTTGCTATATTGAAGACGAATGATGGCAACTTATTTGCATTTGAATTGACTATACCGCTTTATTACTTTCTCTTTCTCTAGGCCCGGAAATGGAAAACTAGAGCTTTTCTCCCTTACAAAGTACACTGAACTAAGTTATTTGGAGTATATGTGTTGTTCGTTCATTAAATTATCAAGATAACTAGCAACAAATTGCACATCGCTTATATCTTATTGCCCTTTTAGATGATCCTTTTATCACCCTCTTGACTGTTACTAACCTATGGTATGTGGTTTTTAAGAGAGAAGTCAATAGGTATAGTTACAAAGCTTTGGATCTCATATTGTGGCCACTAAGAAGCAAATCCCTGAAATAATTTTTAATATGTAGCGTTTCTGTTTCCCTAAAAGTAGGAAGGTTTTTGTATTACATTTCCTTATTTCAGGCTTCAAAGGTGCTAAAGTTGGAGAGAAATAGCCTAGAGTTTCTTTTGCAGCAGTTTTGTGGAGTTACTGCGAATAAAGAGTGCGTACTAGTCCAATCTGTATTTTTTTTTTCGCTCTCAGTCTTCTCACTTGTCTATCAACTTATGTTGTGTTCATTGCTGCAGATACCAAAATGCGGACTGGAGAATACGACCCCTTCCAGAGGAAATGACAAGGTCAATTCTTCTCTGTCCTGTATCTTTTTTCACTACTATTCTGACCTCAGTTGGTTTGAGCTCACCTTTTTGGATTTCCTTGCAGATATGCAAGAGAAGATACCCACTATCTTTTGTACATATATGATGTAATGAAAATAGAACTGCAAGAAATGGCAAAGGGCGACCAGAATACTGACTCTCCTCTGCTTGAGGTAGTCGTCAGTAAACTATGCTGGCAAGTCTAATATTATTCTGCATGTTGGTATTTGCATGATAGATATACAGTTGTGTTTGGTCTGACTATCTTTCTGTTAGATTCCCTTACTAGAAAAGTAGGCGTGGCGCTTAAAAATCTTGACGGCATAGCATTATTTGTGGAAAATGATATGTGGCCAAATGTGTAGGGTTAGTATGCGTGGGTTATGTCATGTTGTACGTTAGTTAGATTTCCAGTGTTCTTAATGTATATTAGCTGCCTCTACTAGGTGATTTTCTATGGTAGCTTCTCTAAGAATAATTTTGAGAGCATTCGTAATTCATTAAAATTTTCTCTGGCTGAATTGTATTTACTATTCACAGAAAAAAAACTCCCTTTCACATGTTTTGGGGATTCATCTAGGTTATTGGCATTCACATTTCTGTGTCACTGGTGATTTAGCACCATTGACTCGTAAACATCTTTGCTTGTCTATATTTTGTTTCATCAACTGGATGTACAGCCCAGGAAGAATATGTTCTTTCTTATTAATATTTTTGACCATTTTCACTTACTGTTTCTTACAGGTTTACAAGCGCAGTTACGATGTGTGCACACAACTATATGAGAAAGAGCTCTTGACCGAGAATTCATACCTTCACGTATATGGGTTTGTTGTTTTTCCTTGAAAGAATCAATCTACTTCAGTTTTGTTGTTTCAGCAGACAAGGTGTATGTGTTTGCTGATAATACCTGTTAATCCTTTTTTTATTTATTTCATTGGCTAAGATTAATTCACGAATACACTTTTCTTAAGCTAAGTTACATAAACACTGATATTATTTTATCATCCTGGTATTCTGTTAGGCTTCAAGCAGCGGGCTTCAATGCAGCTCAACTTGCCATTGTTGCTGTACGATGTTCTTGTCTGATGTAGTACATGATGAATTTTTACATTGCTTTTTCTTATACTATATGGTAAATTTTCTGTCTTTTTAGGGACTTTGTGAATGGCGGGATTACGTTGCACGTGCGGAGGACGAGAGCACTGGTTATGTATTGCCAAACAAAGTTCTTCTTGAAATAGGTATATAGCTGAGAGTTCAATTTTACCATCGGAGTGTTCGGACAACTCCTAACTTGGTCTAATGTTTGCTATCATAATAGCCAAGGAGATGCCTGTTAGCGTTGGAAAATTGCGTCGGATGTTGAATTCGAAGCATCCTTATATCGAGCGAAATGTTGATTCGGTGGTCAGTGTCATCAGGCAATCAATGCATAATTGTGCAGCATTTGAGTCTGCTGCTCTTTCTTTAAAAGATGTGTCTCCTGGAATTGTAAGATACCTCTATTGATCTAGTTTCTGTTTATGTAATTATAACTGTATGCTTTTAGTTGAGGTGTATAAGCTAATTGAAAGCCGATTAGGGTAATAGAGTCTTCTGACTCAACCTGCAAAGAAAACCAGAGACTAGAGTTGGAAGAATTCAATTTCAGTGGCTAATTGTGAACCCAAATTTATAGTTCTGAAACCTCACGTAATAGCTTGAACTCAGAACGCATGTCTTGCATATTAGTCTCTATTGCTTTGCTATATGCTTCATGTCTGTTTTAATTATGGACTTCTCTTATTGTAGGTAATGGATAAGAATACTGAACCTATTATTGAGAGGAAAGACATAAATCTTCACATAGAAGACGTAGCGTCTCCGAGTTTAAAGGAAAATTCTTTGCATGTTGAGAACAATATCATGGGCCGTACCACTGTTGCAGCTGATACTAATGAAGGGAGAGGTTTAGGCACAGGCTTGTTTGGTTCAACTAAGGTGACACCTAGTTATTTCTTTTGGTCGATGCTCCTTTATAATGAAGGGAGTGGTTTAGGCTCAGGCTTGTTTGTTGCTCTTTTATAAGGGACTCACAAAGGTCTGTCTGTCATTTATTAGGCTACTGCGGCTGTTCTGATCTCTAAGAAACCAAGCAGTGGTTTAGGAGCATTACTGGGAAATGCAGCATCGAAAAAGAAATTTAGAACTGATAAGAATGTGAGTTTTTCTTAACTGAGAACACTAGAGTTGGTTTTGGTTGCAGTATGATTAATAAGATTGTTTTCAGGTAAATGAAGAGGTGAAGCTCGAACAGATAAGATCATCTGTAAACCTGCCATTCCGTTCTTTTACCGACAAAGTTTCTTACTCAAATTCAGCTACTCGACCATCTCAGAATGTTTATGCGAATCCCATAGAGGTGTCCACTACTATGCCAACCTCTGTTTCCAAGCAAGATGGTGTGACAGAGTTGAAAGATGATTCAGAAGAAGCCTCAGAAACCGTTGGTACCTCTGGTAGAGTTTCAGAGTCGGTAGTATCTGGTTTTGAGACAGACGATGTTATATTGTTAGACAATAGTTATGAGAAGGAAGCTGATGGGGAGGATGAACCAATGTCTCTCTCGGAATTGTCCACAAACTTTCAGAAGTGCTTTAACTCCATGAATAAGAGCAAAAACAAGGCCCAAAAGCCTGAGTTTTTCAACGTAGAGCCCTTTGATTATGAGGCTGCAAGGAAAGAGGTGAAATTTGGGGAAGAACAAAAGGGAAGACAAGGAGGAAAGAAAGAAGCTGGGTCAGGTAAGAAGAAGGGGTCAGGTGCACCAGAGGAGTCAGAGTTTGGGCAAGGAAAACGGCGTCAAGCCTTCCCGGCATCCGGGAACCGAAGTGCAACTTTCAAGAGTTAGGTTGCGAAATTTTCACTCACAACTGAATGGAATCAAGGCAAATCTGATCCAGGCAGTCGATATTGTTGTTTTATTTAAATTATCATTCTTTTTTTTTTCTGTGGTCAATGGTGATTTTTGGTTTGATCATTTTCACTGTCTACTAAATATTTCCCACTTTGATGGGACTTAGGGATATAAAACTCGTTGGTTCGAAACATCAAATCTGATTCGTAGTTTGAATTATTACGTGCATTCGAGAGCACCTCGTCTTTGATGGGTATCATGTCATAGTTCATTTCCTATTCGTACCTCTCAATGCCGAACAATTCCATAACTTCATTTACCACATTCACTTCACCACTATCATCACACCATTGTAACTAGTAAGACTTAGGAATGCTGGTTGTGTTGGTTGATGAACCCAATGTTGTCAATAACTTCTCTTTTATATAATATTTTATATAATAGAAATCTTGCAATAGTAACTTCTCTTTTATATATAATATTTTATGTCAACATGATGATTTCCATTTTTGAAAATAATCTTCCACACTTGGTAACTTTTGGGTTATATTAGCCTGAGAAAAAGTTGAGTTGCGGCAGTTGCCAATGGCCATTTTTTGTTATTGTTGTCACCAACTATAATTGTATAATAATCATAAACTCCAGGTTCTGTGACATCTCAAGAATAAGATTTTGACCTAATTTTTTTTTTTTTTTAGCCCGATTATTCAATACCCATCAGGAAAACGCTAAGTCCAACTTCCAAATTTACCTCTCTAAAACTCTAAATTTAGAAGTCTCTCATCTCTACTCTATAATAGAGGAGAGGAGCCATGCCTTATAAGAGATCAGATAGCTATCTTGTGGCAAAACACTTTAAAAGAGAAGCCACTGTAGCCATCTAGGAGGCAGATCTGGCCTATGAGAAAGATCCAACCTGTTCTGGCATAAAAGAAAAACGGACAGGAAAATCAAATCGATTCGGCTTGAAAATTGTTGAGCATATTCGCGACTCTCAGATCTAGCTATAGCCGCTTGCAGATCTTCATTTGGAGTTGTCGTTTTTCCAAAGCAGATCCGTACAGATCAGATTCGCGAGAAGCCAACTTCAGAAGTATTTTGCCGGCAATCCGAGAACCTCCAGAAGGTGATATACATACCGATAAGAAGCTTTTGAATCCATATTTTTCAGACCTACCTTCCAATCTCCTTTTTGAAGTCTAATCAGAGAGTTGTGTCTGTTTATTCCCGGCAAAGTTTCTGCCCATTTCAAAACTCTAATTCTATTTTAGGAAAGTTTCCTTCCAAAAATTTTCATTTATAGAAAGTCAATCTATGGCAAATCTATTTATGAAAACTTTTTTTCCAATCACAGACATTGGAACGCCTATTTCAACCAGTTTTTCTGACTACAAGGCAAAGCTGAGGCGGAACTTGTGGATTTATAGGTTGTCTTAGACATACTTGTATATGTGTGTTCTGAACCTAAAATTAGAAATTGATTGGTAATTAAAACGAACATGAATGATTTTTTGAGAATTGTTGTATGTATTATTGATTGGTGTTAGTCTAGGCACGTTAGAACACATAATTGATCCCGGCCTATAGACAGATTGCTTGTTGGTCTTCACGAAAAACGTTTCGCAAAGTGAGACTATGGCTGGACCATTCACAGAGGAAGTGTTGCCAGTACAGGGGCTGACAGGGCTGTAAGATTTGTGGCTGACGAGTCACCAGATTTAAAGATATTTTCAGTCCGACGTTCTCGTGAGTATGAACTTGTGTGCTAGGTTTCTGTGTACTTGTGAAAGATTGATGATTGTTATTTGTCTAATCTTAGGTTAATTAGGTATTTATGTGGTTATGTTTAATTCTGCATATAGATCAAGTGGGCAGGTAGGATCGTTCTCAGTGAGTATCTCCAAAATGCTCACCCCTCTTTTCCCTTTCAGATGTCGTTTAAGAGATCATTTTGGCGTGGAGATCAAGTCAAGTTACCCAGTAGGGTTTCTCCGGTTTAGGGTGTCTCAGGTTCAACTTGTAGCTTCTCCACTTTTTTTGTTCTCGACTGAATCAACAATGTTTTCATTTTCTGCTAGAATTCAAAGGCAAGTAGTTTTGGTAACTGAAAACCAATTAAATCTTCTTCTTTTTTTCCCCACTCTAGATAGGAATGTGGATCATCTATGTTCTAGAAAATGTACAACGTATACTTCCAAAGTTTCATAGGGTAACAAGTAGAGTTGAAGTTCCTATTCAAACATTCCATCCAAGTATCTGCATCTAGGAGAACAGTGTTCCCTTGGAAGAATGGAGTGTTTAAGTATCCATATGACTTAGAGGCTCACAGATATTTTTGGGCTCTCTCATCCCTATAAGGACAAGGTTGAGGTGCAAGTTCGGCTTGTGTCTACTCTCTTAATTAGGCAAACATGGTGATAGAGTTCCCAATCAAAGCTTTGTAATAGAACACAAGAGAAACTTATTATTAATGATCGATGTCCCCCTCTTCTTGTGGGTTCTTCTTATTATATAGAAAATTTTAGAACCAATAGAACACAAGAGAAACTTATTATTAATGATCGATGTCCCCTTCTTCTTGTGAGTTCTTCTTATTATATAGAAAAGTTTAGAACCAATTGGTTCTTACAAAAAGGAAACAATAACTATAATGAAAAAAAACAACTAAAGAGAATCTTTTCTATTAGTATGATGTAAATAATAGAAATAGATAAAGAATAGAAATCGTGACAATGTCTTAGTCTTTTGACTTAGTCAATGTATCTTGAGTTGGGTTTCTTAACACGTTTAGGTCTTCCTCCCATGTCTGTTGGCTGTGTTATCTCATCACATGGCTTAGCCTGCTTCTAAAAGATTTTATGCATGACCAAGAGGAGGTAAATTGAAATGGTTGGTACTATTAGAACTCGAAGATCTCGCATGTTGATCTTCCATAAAGTTTCCCTCAAACTACTCTGATGGATTGGATTCATGGTACTAATGAATTACCTATGATCCTAGATAAATATTAATATCTATGTAGCTAAGTACCCAATCCAATAACAGAAATTAGAAGTCAGATGTCATACTTCAACCCACTATTAGTCCTAATTAAATCATAAGAAAAGCTAGTGTAAAGCAAGTGTCATTTAGTTTCTCTTACTCAGAAACGTTGAAATCATTTGAAAACTTGTTTTAGATGAGCATTTGATATAACTATGCTCTGACACAACCTTAACACAGTTGTAACATCCTAGTTTCTTGTAGTCCTAATCAAAATCTCTATACCATTGATAAGATATGTGAAAGACCCGACAGGCTACATGGACACTTACATTAGTGAGTCATGGATTTCATAACAAATGCCTACCCCAACGTATCACTCACAAGTTCACAACAAGACTCACAATTTCGAACCCAAGTTCTTTATTGTGAAACTCGACTAGTTCTTTTGAACTACGCTTATCGATTTAAAATGATCAACAAACAAATGGTTTATATATATATATATATTTTTTTTTGTCGCAATATATATATATATATATATATATATATTACCAAAATTTGAAAACACGAAGAGGTGCTGCATGAAAAAGCTTACATATATTTTTTTTTGAATTGAATGTAAAATTTATTCAATCTATAAAAAAAGACATTTTTACATCAAGTGTTGATGTAAAATTAAATGATGCTAAACAAATACTTGTAACAATTTTGCAAAAGATGGTAAACTACTATCAAGTAGCAAGCCAATGCTGGAGGCTGCCTTCTAACTTGGTGTCTCCCGAAGATCGAATTCTAGAAGTACGTACGGTTCCTGACTTGCTTGTCGATTGCCTGATTAGTTGAGCTGCAGATGTGGGAATTTCTCCATGCCGTCTCAAGTTCCTTTCCCTCCAGATAGTGTGAATTGCTCGTTGAAATTCATATCGGGTAAGGAATGCAGGTATTGTAGCCAACCTTGTGTCAGAGATGGTGAACATTGTGCTGTTCCAGTCCGTTGAGTAGTGAGTAGTGAGCAGTCTAGTGGTTAACCCTGCCACAGAGAATGGACAAGAGAAGAATAGGTGATTTCTTGTCTCAATTGGAGCAGAGCAGAAGATGCATCCAGAGCTGATACCCAGATTCCATACTATCATTCGGTTAGCCATTGATAGTTGATTCTGGATTGCCAGCCATGTACAAAAATCATACTTTGGAGTTGCAAATTTAAACCGTACACCTTTGTGCCATTCCACCGTAGCGTGAGTCTCACGGAGGAGGAGCCAGGTACTCCTAGAGCTGAAAGAAGGTTTGAAAATGTCGCTGGTACTACTCCATAAACTTACATCCTCTTCCTGAGGATTGATGAGAAAATAGAGCATCCTCAATCGCATTTAGATGTTCTGCTCGATATCTGCATCGTCGACCAGATGACCATACCTTCGCTACTGTTTTATTTAGAGTTATGCCCATATCAATAATGCCTCTATAGCCTGTAACGTCATATAGACAGCCAAATCCGACCAGATGTCGAACTAAACAGAAGTCAGTGTGCCATTGTTGGCATCTACTCTATGAAAGTCTCTAGCTTTATCTCTGCATTTCTATAGTTTTGTCCATAGCCATGACCCAAAGCTCTGTTTTTCCAATTGACCAAAACGATCTCTGCTTAAGCAAATTTTGTTGGATCCACGTTACTCATAAAGAGGGTTTTGCAGAAACGATAAATCAGATAATATTGTAGCAGCTGACATCATTTATAATTTTCTTTAGAGATCAGATTCCTAAACTACCCTCCTTCTTTGGATGACACACCTTTGTCCATGATACTTTTGCTTTTTTTCGAATTTAGTTCAGGACCAGACCAAAGAAATGCGGAGCACAATCTCTCAATCTCCCGTACACATTATCTTGGAAGCCTAAAAGCTGAGCACCAGAAATTTGAAACACTTATTAGCACTGAACTGATTAGCTGAAGTCTACCAGCCAATGATAAATAGAGAGCTGTCCATGATCCAATCCTCTTTCTGATTTTCTCAAGCAACGGATACTAATCATTTTTTGTCATGCACTTATTCGTCAAAGGCAGTCCAAGATATCTTACCGGCAACTGACCAATTTAAGATGGGAATCTGTTCAGCATGTCCTGTCTAATCGCATCTGAGACACCTACCAAAAAAAAGCGTTGATTCTGCATACTGATCTTCAGCCCAGAGAACTTGGCAAAGTCATCAAACACTCTACAATGCGTTCAGCCGACCTTGTTTTTCCATCAGACAAAGACCATTTTGTCA